CATTCATATTAGTTTGTTTATTTGTGTTTTCATTCAAACTGCACATTTCTCACATGAAAATATCAATTTAAACAATTGAATTACCAGAAGATTATTTAAGACTCGAAGTTTTCTACCTTCAATTCAAGAATCTATCTTAATCCAGAAAAAATCACACAGCCTAACTTTTGCTGGTGAAGGGCATCTTGGCGTGTGATTTAGTCGTGCAATGACTTCTGACCCCCTACAGCAAAACTCGTTTAGTACGAACACGGATATAGCGAATTTACGGATATAGCGAAGTCATCTTGGATCCCCAGCGTGATAAATTTAATGAATTTCTTATACGGTTATAACGAATTACGGATATAGCGAAGTAATTTCATAGGTCCCTGTGACTTCGTTATAACCGAGTTTTACTGTACTAAGTTCATACAGAATCTTCAATAGGTTTATCTAAGAATATTTACATTTCCAAATAAATTTCCTTAAGACTCTTTGCAAATAGGAAGACTTTTGCTTTTTTCATGAACTTCCATGGATGAGCATGAATATCTCCTTGTTACGTCATAATACCGCACTTGACGTCAAAACTATAGTGCAAACTGTTTTGCTTTAAAAATGACAGTTGAATTGCTTAAATTCTGTGGGAATTTGTGAATGAATTTATTTTTTGAAGATTCATGAGATATATGAACTACATGGATGATGCTTCTTGAAATATGCCAGCGTGAAGTGTTGTAGTTCGTAACCTCATGAATCTTCAAAAATTAAATTCATTTCTTAAATGAAAATACAAGTGTATTTGCTTTTGTAGAGCATCTCCTACTCCCCTACTAAACATTTTAGATCCATCCCTCAGTTTTTACTTAGCCTAACTTTTGCTGTTGTAGGGCCTGGAGGACAGGAGGTTCTTCTGGTGAGCGTTCCTCGGTTCTCACAGACAGCTACAGCAGTGATGGTCAATCTCAAAACTCAGGACTGCCATCCCATTCAGTTCTCAGCCTCCTTTACATCAGAACCCAATAGATAGCAGTAGAACATTTAGATCTATTTATATACAAAATTAAATGTAAAAAATATGTGTTTTTGTTTTTCTTTTTTCAAATGAGATTTAGCTGGGTCTGAAGTGATTGGATCAGACAGTATCTGTATTGTCTTGATATTGGTCGTGTATGAGATAAATTGTCTGAAAGGAGGATCGTAAGGGTGTGTTGATGTTTATCAATATCCACTAAATAGTATCAAAACATGAAGTCATAATGTTTTCAAAAAGTTATCTTGAATACAACATTGATTACATCACCATTGCTTGTAATCAGGAAAATACAATATAACTAAATACTAATGATTACAAATCAGTCTGTAATTGATTACAGTGTGATTACTTGTTACATCCTTGATGTTTATGAATGAATTAATGAGATGAAAGGAATACAGGGGGCATTAGAAACACACATCAGAAAGGGATTCCTGAAATGTGTTTATAAAAGTGAACTTTGTTAATCATATGGGTACAGAAATCATTTCTTAACAGAAATATGTAAAACAAAAAGCCTATTGGTCACATTGCTCATCTGTCACACTGACTAGGAAAAGACAGAAATCGGATCAGTATTGAAAAATTAATGGGGGGGGGGGCAAAACTTGAATTTCCACTACCTCAACTTATCATGGCTTCCCCGTTCTTGAGCAGAACCGATTCATAAAGACTTTTTCCCTATGTATTCCTATCTACATTGTATTTAAAACTAGGATCACTCATTGTGATCCCACCTTAACCACCCTTAATTTGAACCTTGGTACTTGAGAATCATGTAGAAGTAAAATAATTAGGATTTACTGCATTACTTCATTTATTTTAAATAGGGGAGATAGATCCATTCAGTGCTAAAGAAAATGAATGATTTTTTCCCTCTTTTTTCAAACATTTATGAATAATTCTGGTAGATTTCCTTGTGAAAGTTGTCAATGAGTATTTAAAGTTACACAGTCATTCAGGGACATAATACTGAGTCATGCAGGGTGTGAAATGGAAATCCGTATTGGGAGTCATACAGGGTGTAAAATGGAAATCCATATTTGGCGATGCCAAGCCAAGTCCCAATATGGATTTCCATTTCACACCCTGTATGACTCCATATTAGGTCCCTGACTGACTTGTTATGAATTTATCCCGCTGAAGACCTTTTTAAATATTATAAAATATATGTGCATATAATGAAAATATCAAGTTTTAATCCAATAAAACTTGACCTTGTGACCTTGACTGTTACCTATATACTGAGTACTAAAAATAGCTTTTATGGACTTTTGCCAGAACTTTTGAATCGTAGGAGATAAAGACTTTATATTTGTTATGCATACTCCACTAATAAAGTTCTTTCAAATGACACCAAGGGCAATGACCTTGTGACTTTGATTGTGACCTATTTGCTAAAAATAGCCTTTTCAAACTTTGTTAGTACCAGGGACATAGTGTTTACAAACACATCTTGTGGCTCGAGCTCTTTAATTCTATTGGTATGCGCAATAATTATTTATTGCTCTTTTCAAAATAGTTACATTTAATGTCACAAATCTGATTTATGCAGCAACAAATCTTGTAGAGAGTGAGAGAGCAGTTAAGACCGCGGAACATTAACTGGCAAAATTGGAAATATACAGCTTACGTCATTTCTATCTGTTACAATCAAAACATTCAGTGATAGACAGCGTAATGGGCGGGTACAATTCGACGCGGACGTTTGGAAAACATCGGATTGAAATTGCAGATCAAAATTCATTTTCAATCCACCCCAGCTACGCTACAATTCGACGCGGACGTTTGGAAAACATCGGATTGAAATCAATCGGAGTTCCTCGGATGACTCGTACCTCGCACATAACCTCGGACGTCAACGGTGATCTTCCATCTTGCTGATTCAGTCATGTGATCTTATTTGAATTTCGTTCAAATATTTTACTTTTGAAATCCGAGTTACTTTGATGCACGCCCAACACTGTGTTCTTGCTTTCAAAGAATACTAACATTTGGTTGTAATTAATACGAGAAATTACACAAATAATGAATTTTTTCTATGAACTTTAGGCAGAGCGAAATATGAAATGAGTGACAAGGCAGTTTCCGGCGGAGAAATGTAGCGATCTGATGCGTATTCCTCCACCTATCACATCCGAGGTTTGAATGGAGCGTAGCGGAGTCAGCCGAGGATTGCCGATTGGATTGAAATTGCAGATCGAAATTCTTTTTCAATCCACCTGAACTGTTTTCAAAGCTAAGAGTGAATATATGATCCAAAAATCAACTATTTTCAACTCCCGAATACATTTTGTTTGAAGTTCACATTAATACGAGTTTTAGCTTATAATTTTTATGGACGAAAGATGACAGAAGACAAAGATTATTTTTCAGGAGATATTTGATTCTAAGCTGGGGGGGGGGGGGGGGGTAAAAATTGTCGAGTCAGGTCATGACTTACATGTAATGTTTACATGACAACAGATTTTATTTCTAGGATTATTAGAGTGCATGAGTTTTATACTTATTCTCACTGAAAAATGTTGGAAAACTTTATTTAAATTGTTAAGCCCCCTCCCCCCCTCCCCTAAAACAAACGTATATTTACCAAGCAGAAATAAAATATTTGTCCCTACATATATTTCTTTGAAACACTTGACAGAAAATTCTGATTTATATTAATTATCTTCAAACTAGACGAAAATTGAAATTATACTGTCTTTTGGATCAATCAGTAATGTGCCTTCGAGCGTAGCTGAGGTGGATTGAAAAAGAATTTCAATCTGCAATTTCAATCCGATGTTTTCCAAACGTCCGCGTCGAACTATAGCGTAGCTGAGGTGGATTGAAAATGAATTTCGATCTGCAATTTCAATCCGATGTTTTCCAAAAGTCCGCGTCGAATTGTACCCGCCCATTACGCTTGTCTATCACTGAATGTTTTGATTGTAACAGATAGAAATGACGTAAGCTGTATATTTCCAATTTTGCCAGTTAATGTTCCGCGGTCTTATTTCATTTTGAGACTTGATACCTGCATTTATTTCTCCAACAAAATGATATATTTAAGATATCTTGACTTAAAGTAAGGGATCAATAGATGAATTCAATTAATGCTCCTGTGAATTCAGATTGATTCACATATCTTTCAACTGAAGGTAGAATTAATTTTAAGTAGAATTGTTGTTTACAGAAGTTTAAACTACTTGGTAATTTTCAAGCAACAAGACTGCTAAATTAGTACTTCAATTGAAAGATATTTTTCAATTTTGAATTCAACAAGAGCATTTAATTGAACTGATGCGTGCATAAAATCAATAATTGCTCCTGAGAATTGAAACTCTGTATCCATATGCGTCAAATGATCTCTTTAATTCAGCCTTGATGAGTATACATATTTTTTTCTCTTTAATTCAGCCTTGGTGATATACATATTTTTTTCTCTTTAATTCAGCCTTGATGAGTATACATATTTTTTGTATGTGGACATAATTAAATCACTGGGAGTAATGAATTGATTTGATGCATTCTTCGGTTATTTGGTAAGCATCATGATTTTTAAGAAAATGAATGCTAGTGTTTGTCATACGATTCCTTCACATTCGGATAAACCAATTTTTAGGTTTTTACATGTCACCATGCAAGGCCATGCAAAATTAATTCCTTGGTTCTCAGACTTTTTTTTTTAAATATGATGAGGGAAGGGGACACTATTTTTACTTTTTATTGCCCCCCAAAACATGGTGAGGCTGCTTTTACATTGTACAAAACCTAAAAAAAATAGTGATGGAGGTGATTTGTTTTTTATTTCATTGAGTTAGCAATAAAAAGGGTCAACTGGGCACCCTTGGAAGAGATGGGGGGGGGGACCAAGAAATTAATTTTTATGGCCCAATCACTCAAAGAAATCAAATATGATTTAATTATTGATCTTCAGCTCATCACTTGACCGCTCTGATCTTTTACTCGAAAACATCAGTTTCAAATATAAAAATTAGAAACATCAAGAATATTCTTTATTTTGCGTTAGAAATAATTTATAATTGCTAAAAATTGGACTTGGGCTGCCTGTCTATGTGTGATGTGCCTGAAAAAAATCATGATAATGTATATACACATGTATAGGAATAATCTTAAATTCACATTTCTTAATTTTCTTTTTTAATCTTTAACATTAATTGTGTAATTACAATGATAACTTCAAAACCAAGACTTTTTATTGGACATTTACACGATACATAGGGGAATATAAGAGAAACTTTTAAGGTTTTAGACTTTATATCAGAAGGACATTCAAGTAAATATATTCAGGGACACGTAAAATATCTGTGTTACTTACACAAGAGATCTACACGGATTTTTGTCCGCCCGATTTTCCGCAGGATCCACATGAGCTTGCGGCCTTGGCGTGGTGGTGTTTGCAGGACTTGTTCTTACATTGTAAAGCCCCACATTTGTCGCATTTAAAAGCTACTCCGCCGCTTTTGCATCCTGGACATGCCATTGTACTCTGTATAAAAAAAAAAAACGAGTCTTGAAGAAAATATTTTCTCTTGTGTCTAATAACGGTGAAATACTTGTATTTATTACTATTTAATGTAGATCTCTCGTCATGTTTTGAAAATCAGTCCAGCAGATATGCATGTAAGGTACAAAAATGTCTTTTGGTCGAGCAATGTTAATATACCCCTGCTATTTTTTTTTTATTTCAATGTTTATCTATATTATTTTTAAACATAGTTTAATTGAATTCATCAAAAGGATTTAAAGCGCGGTCTTATACGAGGGTTGATCTAAAAGTAATGTCACACTGTTCCTTTCCTTTTATATATTTTAGAAAAACAACTATAATATATATAAACGAAATATATTTGATTAAATAATCTTTTGTGTTCATACACAGGGGCCTGTAGCATACTGTATTTGATTTTACGTAATCACTATATGTATACAAAAAGAGATTTTTGTATATATATAGTGATTACGTAAAATCAAAAACTGTATGTTACCGGCCCCTGTGTGTTCATATGGAAAACATGAAATCGTATACCATTTTTTTTTGTGGCAAAAATTATTATATTGCAAATACATGTAAATATTTTCATTTCATGCTTAAAAATCGGTATTCAAAGTTAGATTAAATCTAATTCGAATTCTCAAAGATTTGTGATTAAATTTAAACTTTTTGGGGGTGTTAAAAGTAATCGTTTTTAAGACTTCAAAGAACCTTGAATCATATTAGGATGCAAGTCATAGGCGTCGGAATCGTAAGGGGTGGGGTGGGGTGGGGGGCTAGGGGGAGGGGGCCTAGCCACCCCCACCCTACTTTTTTTTCAAAGATAGACATAATATGAGTATTGAAAATTGGGGCTTACCTTTTTTCGTTGTTTTGCCCCCCCCCCCCTTTCAATTAGCCACCGGCCCACTTTCTATTTGCTTCTGTCGCCGACAAGTAATTAACTTTACCCTTTTCAGAAAGATTCATGGAAATTATTTAGATGTTTTTATTGTACCTCATATTTCAATATATATATTGGTAAGAGCTTTTAAACGTCAAAAATTCCGTTTAAAATCTTCAGTTTATGTTCGAGATTCTGTTTCTTTAAGGTATCTTGAATCTGTAAAATGCTTTCAATTATCAATATATTTCTTACGATAATTAACAACAATGAAGGATGTCATTGTCATTTAATATTAAGAATTTTCATGTAAAATCTATTTATCGAAGATTTTTTTTCTCTAAAAAAAAAAATGGGTGAAATCTAGAAATCAGTTCAAAATCATAATTAAAACAGTAATGCAAGTATGTCCAACACCTCTTTTTTTATATTGTTTTATCATTTATAATAATACTCATAGGCACTCCCCAGCTTGATTGTTATTCAAAAAAAAAGATCTAATTTACTTAACATAAATACATAACATAACGTACGTACCTGTAGGTTTTTTTTTTTTTTTAAGTTGGGGGTGTCTATGATATTTTTTTAAAATTACTGCAGGTGTCTAAGCTTCTAGGAAAAGGGAAAAAAAAATACTTTTTCACTCTGGTCTTAAATTAACACAGAAAGGGTGTAATTTGCCAAATATGAAACTTACCTTTGCAAATATTCTTTTAAAGCAAAGTTCTATGTTCTTTTTAATACTTTGTTACATACCTACTAACATTCTCGTCTTTTATACTGAATCCGCGTAAAACTTAGGGACGTGTGCAAAACTAACAGTCTGGTCATTTTAATCCGGATTTCCCGGTGTTACTTCGAATATAGATTACGGAGGGTAGTACGGGAAACGGGAAACAGCGTGCTTTTAGATGTGTAATCATATTAATCATTTATATAATAACCCCCTTCCCCCGCGACAGTGGCTGACTAAAAAAAGGAATATGATGAAGGGTTATTCCCTTTAATTAAATATTCATTTCACACGCCAAAAAATTGATAAAATAGAAATATTTAAAATATCAAAAATCATTGCACCCCCCTTATTATATATATGAGCTTGATATCCTCTGATAAGTTGGACATAAAATCATTTTACAGTAAAAATCCCGGATAACTGAATCGCATCCATACACATGTTATGTGTTCGGTTCATATAAAACAGTTGTCTTAAGGAAAACTTTGTTTTCAATTTATATTTAGAATTAATATTTACAAAATTGTATTGTTTTAATTGTCTTTCACTAATTAACAATTTTCAATTGCCAATGAGTACATTTAGTCATGTACTATTTACTTAATTTAAGATCACAGCATAGGCGTAGGAACGGGGGGGGGGGGGGTCCCCCACACTTTTTTGCAAAGATAGACATTACATAGACATTTAAAATTGGGGTTTTCTTTTTATTTGTTGGTATAGCCCCCCCCCCCTTTCAATGAGCCACCCCACTTTTAATTTGCTTCCGACGCCTATGCACAGTGTCCTCAGATATTCATAAACAAAAAATTGCATTACCAGGGGTTTTTGAAAGATATCAACTGATGAAAATTCTTGGATGATTCAAAGAAAAATATATAAAAAATAATAAACATATATTCTTGGTGTTTCTTTTGTCCAAAATTGTTTTAGAAGTGCACACGCAACGCCATATATATAGATATTAAAATACAGCACACAGTTCCTTCAAAACTCCATTGAAAAAGATAAAAAAAAAAAGTTCAAACTATACGTTGCGTATATCCTTAATCTTAACATTTCATGCACTTCATCGACTACCGTATTTTTCTTGTTTGTAAACATAATATTACGGCTATAGGAACGTGTCCAAAAACTAGTCTTGATCACAGGTCTTTAAACACTGTATCCCGGTGTTTTAAATCGACAGTATATACTCTATAAAAATAAATACCAATTATTTACATTAATTTGAAAAGCATGTGATATTGACCCCTTTGCAAGTGTCAATATTAAAAGTGTAAATATTTTAAATATGTTAAGCTTAAAACAATAGTGACGCAATTTCATTACATGTTTGAAATGTGTTTTTAAACATGCAATATGAAATTTAACAATTAAGAAACAGTGGTAAATGTCAATAACAATTTTCCCACCTATAACCCCCCCCCCCCCTTCCTAAGTTATTTTACGTGTTTCTTTAAAACAAACATACCCAAATTACTATAACAACGCTGCACGCATTGTAAATTCTAAACGGTTTAAATAAAACAATCAATATTTGATTTATCGATTTATAAACAACCTCTTCGTACTATATTGATATTCATGCAGTTTTGAACGAAAGGAAAGGATATCAATAATATTTACATGTTCTTCAAGTTGTGAGAATACAAACCAAGTAACTAGATGTTTTGTTTTCCGAAGCTCGTTGACGACGATCGTAATGTATTTCAAAAATAATTATTTGTTAATACTTTGAAAAAAAAAAGATTGTTGTTTTATCAATAATGCCCCAATTAAAAAAAAATGTTTTGGGGTTGTACGTCTTCTTTGGCGGAAAGGGGGGGGGGGGGTAAAAAAAAAAGATGCGTTGCGGGTCGTTACATTTTAATATATGGGGATCAAAATTGAAATAATGTGAGTTTTCCATAAATGAAAGTTTTATTGATACTATAAGTGCGAGTCCTATTGCCTTTAACTTTGCCTTTTGTTCTTTCTTTCTTTGAAAAATTTTAAAATTTAAAAAAATCAACAAAGAAACGCAAGTTTTAAAATTTATTGTTAATTGAGCCAAACAAAACCGTCCAATATTTTAGAAATAGTACCTCTTTCACTATACAGAATTCATACTTCGAGAAAATAGTGGGATATCTACAAAGATTTCTTAATCTTCATAAAAAGGGCTATACTTGCACTGCCGGATTTAGGGGGGGGGGGGGGGGCAAGCCACCCCCCCTCCTTTGTGTCCAAAAAATACACAGTATCAAATAAATCAATGTTTTTGGTGCGGCTACGGGCCCCTACCCTGACCTCAAACTGGTCGCCCCCCCCCCCCTTTTCAAAATTTCTGGATCCGCCACTGACTTGATCAATTAAGTTTTGAGACAATTTGGATCCGTAAATTTCAAAAACTGATATATACTTAATGGACTTTCACATTTTATTTGTTTTCATTAAATATTACATTGTGGCTATAGAAACGTGAACAAAATCACAGGTCTTTAAATTATGAAGATTTAAAGACAGCTAATATTTATTTACATTGATTTGAAGAGCAAGTCACTACCCGTTCGCACTGATCGGTCAATATTGTTATGAGTTTTATAAAAATATGCTCTAAAAGACAAAACGTGTCCATGAAGAACGAAGTTAAACCGAAGTTAAACAATGGTTAATAGTTGACATTTTTTGCCCAATCGCATCTAAACCCAAAATCTATTTTATTTGATCTTTGACCGACATCGTTTTGACCGACATCGTTTCATGACTTGTTTCTATGGCAGTGGTATAGTTCGGTATAATTTCAGTAATTAAAATATTTTAAAAATAGATATCTATCAAGAATGTCATCACGTCATATACTGATGTTTGTCTTTAAAAGCAATGTCATGCAAAATTCACGTAGGTAAAGCTATAATTACCGAGTGTTCAATTTTAACTTCATTTCACGTTTGTTCAGTTTAAAACATAATTATTTAAAATGTTTTTAAATTTTGTTGTATTTCATTTGCCGAGGACAACCAAATCCTCTGTTTCAAATGCCGTTTGTATAATTTGAAATTTTAGCGAGACGCAAATTTAGCGATTTATCTAAACAATGGTATAAATTTTTAACGAGCGGTAGGATTAGCGATTTTATTATGGTTATTTTTTTTAAAGCAAAATTTATACTAATAATATGCAAGTAATTGTTATAGAGATTCAATTTTAGCAATCTCAGATCCCTCGCTAATAATGCCAAAATTGAATCAAATATAATTTTTTTATTGTATAATACTCCCACATGGGTCAGGTAATACATCATAGAAAACGCCTTCTTATGCATGTTCTTACCTTTTTTTGTTCATGTTGTCAATAGCAAAACTTCTAGGTATTCTTATACTAAACTATATTTAAACTTCACGCTTCTGCGAAGAAAGCGTTGTTTGCAAAACTGAAAATTTACTTCTAATACAAGCAAATTCAAAGAATTGCGGTCCCCCGCTTTCGGTGTCTTTGTGGGTGAGGTATTATTTTATATGACGTATTGTGTGTAATATGAACATCCTATCATATGTCATTTATTTAGAAAGTAACATTGAAGTTGATTTTTTTTTAAGGATGAAAACCCTAATCCTGACCGTTAAAAAGTTATGGCCAAAGTAAAAAGTTTTTTTTAAAAGCAGGTCAACTCCAAGGTCAAGATCAAATGGTCAAAGTTGTTGATATCCAATGAAAGGTTTTCTCACAAGGTTTACATATGTGAAGTTTGAAAGCCCTAGCCCTTACTGTTCAAAAGTTATGGTCAAGGTTAAAGTTTTTTCATAAGTACGTAAATCTTTAAGGTCAAGGTCAAAAGGTCAAAGTTGTTGACATCCAAAGTAAGGACTTGCCACAAAGAATACATATATGAAATATAAAAGTCCAAGTATCTACCGTTCAAAAGTTGTGACCAAAGTTATAGTTCTTTTAAAAAGTAGTTAAAACTCCAATGTCAAGGTCAAAGGGTAAAAGTTGGCAGCATCAATTGAAAGGTCTTCTCAAGGATTACATGTGTGAAGTACAAAAGCCCTAGCCCTCACCGTTCAAAAGTTATGGTCAAGGTTAAAGTTTTTTCATAAGTATGTAAATCTCCAAGGTCAAGGTCAAGGTCAAAACTTCAAGGTTGTTGGTATCGAATGAAATGTCTTGCCACAAGGAATACATAAATTATGTGAAATATAAAAGTCCTAGTATCTACTGATAAAAAGTTGTGACCAAGGCTAAAGTTTTTTAAAAGTAGTTAAAACTCCAGGGTCAAGGTCAAAGGGTAAAAGTTATTGGTATCCAGTGAAGGGTCTTTCCACAAGGATTACATATGTGAAGTATGAAAGCCTTAGTGTATTTCAAAAGTTATGGTCAAGGTTAAAGTTTTTTAGAAGTTAAATCTCCAAGGTCAAGGTCAAAAGGTCAAGGTTGTTGTTATCCAATGAAATACCCTTGCCACAAACAATATATATGTGAAATATGAAAGTCCTAGTACCCACCATTCAAAAGTTATGGCCAAAGTAAAATTTTTGAATTTTTGTGTGAAAGTGGGTCAAACTCCAAGGTCAAGGTCAAAAGGTCAATTTGGCGGTACCCAAACAAAGGTCTTGTCACAAAGAATACACATGTGAAATATGAAAGTCATACCTCCACTAAATCAAAAGTTTTTTTGTGACGGACAGACTGACAGACTGACAGACGGACAGACTGACAGACTGACGGACAGACGAATGAGATTTAATGTCCCCTCGCTTTCGCGAAAGCGGGGGACAATAACCACGACTGTGTACTACGGGGGACTATATTGGGAGATTAAAAAAGGATCAGCAGAGAGTCTTGTTAAAGTATATTGTATTTTGTACTCATTATTTACATTTTTTCTCTGTAGTTTTTTTTTTCTTGATAAAAAGTCATAATGGAGAATGAGAGGTCTCTCTCTCTCTCTCTCTCTCTCTCTCTCTCTCTCTCTCTCTCTCTCTCTCTCAAAGAACTAAACAAAACTATGTACATGTAGATAAATATAAAAAGATTTATGATATGCGCAACCCTTCCCTGGCATTTATCATTTCGATACTTTATAAAAAAAAAGTG